TCTAAGAATAGATTGGTTAAAGTAGTAGTTATGTATAGTTCAACTTAGTGCTAGAAGTCCTTAAAGTGCTACCTATTAAAGTCTAAAGGGTGAGCTACATACACTTTCTTTCTAGAATAGGTTACAACTTTCAGAACAATTAGAATAGGTTCTGAAGGGGTTAGGGGTACATAGTTAGTAAAGGCCTCTTAAATAGAGGTCTACACATATTAAACTAGTTCTGCTTGTAGTTACTAATCTAGCAGGACAGTAAGGGTAGCAGTTAGTGTAGGAGAGTCTATGTTTATACTATAAAGGAATTGTACTAAACTAAAAGGGGTAATAAATAGAAGAAGGGTGGCAAAAGTTTAAAAGGGTTTAAAAAGTTTAAAATTTAAAAATGTAAAAGGGTTAGAACAAAGAAAAGAGATTAACACAATAGTAAGTACTAATACTCAAAATGTAGGAGAGTTGTAGAGTAGTAATGAGTAGTCTTGATCTAATGTTAGTAACAGTGTAGAGGGGACCTAAAGGCTTAATAAGAGGACCCAGGCTACAACTATCCTACACAACAGAAATACAGAATGTGAGTACTAGAACATAGTCAGAACTTACAGAACAGGTAGAGAGAGAGAGTGAGACAAGAGTAGAGTATATAGAGTAAGTCTAAGAATATAGGACTACCTAGAGTAGACAAGATCAAGACTATAGGACTAGTCTGATCTTGTACACTTATATATACTAAACTACACAAGAGTACTCAGAGAGTATGAGCTACTAAGAATGATAAGCTACAAAGAATGAAAGAAAGGAAGGTCAAAGATAAAGGTACAAGGAATGAAGGGATGGACAAAGGGTAAGAGACTATAGAATGAACAAGGAATGAAGGGGTGGTCAAAGGAGTAGAATGATAAAGTAAGGAAGGGTAGTAGTAAGAGTCAGTACACATATAGTCTATAGACAGCACCCCTGAGGGACAGAAGTCCTGAGTTCTAGTATGAAAGGGTGTAGAACCCTCAGAACTGAAGGTACAAGAGTAAAGAACTGTAACAAGCTACTTAGTATAGAGATTCAACACAACAGAGAGTATAGATTTATTAGAATGTGTTAGACACATTATATTAATAGTATAATAGAATGTTACAAACTTACAAATGAACAAAGTGTACAAACACTTATACAGCCCAGTACACAATTAAAAACAGTATTACAAACTAATAACAATAGAGAACAAATGTCTAATATACTATACATAAACATGGTTAGTACACTTAGATACATTACAGACTGTATACAGTCAGATATAGTATTTGCAACAAATCAGTTAGCTAAATACCTTAATGACCCTGATATGAAGTATTATCTAGTACTTAAACATTGTTACATGTACTTAAAAACTATGAACAATGTCTGGCTCCAACTTGGTAGTACAAATCAATCAATATGGAACAGATATACAGATGTAGATAGTATGATACAAGAAGGGCATCATACAATATTAGGATATACATTTTACTTGAGTGATTCATTAGTTTTGTAGTCAAGTAAAAGACAAACACTAGTAGCAAATTTGATGTATGAAGCTGAATTAATAGGTCTTGTAAGAGGAACACAAGAAGCAATCACACTTACTCATTTAGCTGAAGAGATTCTGCAGGTTTCTGATACACTAATTAATATTTATTACAATAACAATGTTGTTATACAAACAGTTACATTAGACAAACTCAAATATTCAGAACAAACAAAGCATTTAGATCATAAGAAAGATTTTATTAAATGCTACATTGAGTTAGAGTACATAAATGCAAAATACATACAGACAAACAATCAACAAGCAGATATATTAACTAAAGCACTACATGTACCACAAGTCAAACATCTTACCAGTTTACTCAGACTAGTAAGAGTTTGAAGGGGAGTATTATGAGATGATTAGTTCATCAACAGACAAACCATGAGACAATGACTTTATAATGTCTCAGTTAGAATACATACAATATAAGGACAAGAGACACTGAGCAGTCAATCATCACCTCACCCCTTGTCTATGCATGCCCCCCTTAACATCGGGAAAAAGTCCATTTAAATATAATGAATTACAGTCCATTTAAAGAAATATTAGCATTTTATATACATT